AACAAGGAGTCCACCAACCTCTCACCCTAAACAGACATTTTCTATCTGGGATGCTTTAAAAAAAGAATTCCTTGATAATTCATAAATATTTCAATTTGTCTACTTACCTGTTTTTAGTTTCTTCCCTCCACTGGAATATAAATTCTAACTGTTGATAGGTATGTCTATCTTGGGCATTTTTGTGATTCCAGCAAAATCCCAATTCCTAAAAGATAGAAAGTATTCAAAAACATGCTTTAAAGGAAATAAAATACTCCACTCATCTGAGAAAAAAAAGGTTCCTCAGCTGCAAGCTCTTTTCCAACTATTCCTCACGTTGCTCGATCAATAGCCCCTTTTTCTTCTGACAAAAACATCTTAAATTTTTGCCGCAGACCTCTGAGAAATTTAAACAAAATTGTTAGAAGACAAAAGAATTTTGTATTTCACTTAGGTAGCCTGAAAGATTTATTTTGGATTTTGGATAGATGTTTAGCTAGTTAGCTAGATAATAGATAGGCAAATTTATATATTTATTTTAGTGTATATTATATAAATAATAAATTTAATTTGCATTTATACTATATATAGTATACAGGGCATATGTATGTGTGTACAATATGCATACATTATGGCACAATGACATAGAAAAGTATACTTTTCTTAAAATTGTAAAAATGAAGACTATGCTGAAACATGACGAAATATTACGATACGGTGTTAGTCAAAAATTATAGTGTAAAGTGGAGGTTTCAATACAATTACAGGTATACAAAATGCGTGTACATGTGTAAATAAGAAAAGTCCCTGGCAAAATGGAAATCGTTGTTTTAGGGTTTATTATTGTATTATTAGTTATTATGTTTTCAAAATATCGTTTGTTTTTATATCATCATCTTTTACACCAAAAGTAAAAATAAGGACACACGGCACAATAAAAACCTTTCATGAAACATTTGTCAAGTTGAGCTTAAAGCTGACTGAGACCACGCTGCAGGTGACAGCTCTTCTACTGCTGGTGGTTACAATTGCTTTGAGCAGAAGAGCACCTGGAGCCATGTAACAAGAGATGATTCGTAAGCAAAACTGGAGACAATAGAGCCATTTTAGGCAAATTAAATAGGCATTATTTTTCATAAACATTGTTGATATTTAGCCATTTGAACTTTTACATATTCAAAAACCAGTACAGAGAGTGAAACAAAATAAAGGCCTTTAAGCCTGGATCCCATTATGCAAGCCATGAAGATAATAAATGCTTTTTGATTTGAAGTAAAATTTTTATGAAGTGCTCGATGTGTAAGAGGCTTTTATTTGGGGGGATGGAAATGTTCTGGAACCAGAGAGAAGTGTTGTTGCACAGCATTGTGAATGTACCAAATGCCACTGAGTTGTTCATTTTAAAATGGTTAATTTCTAGAGTGTGACTTTCACCTCAGAAAATTATTTAAATGAATTAAAACATTCTTATTTTTCTTGAGCTAGTAGGAAACAATGCTATTTCCATTTGAAACATATCTAAAGACTGTCAACTTATTTTATGCTTCACTGTGTAAGTCAAACACTTATTGAATCACCCATCGGGCCCCAAAATATGGTGGAATGCTATCCCACCTTCATTCAAAACCACAGCAGACAGCGGGTCTTATTGTCATAGGTACCGCCCTGCTCTGTGGCCCAGGGCAAAGGCAGCACGTGGGAAGGCAAGTTGACTCCTTTTGTGTCCTTCTGGGGAAGATGACATTGGCACTGGCCTTTGAAGGATGGGTAGGGTTTCACCAAATGTAGAATAGAAGGAAAGAGCAATCAACACTGAAGACAGGATAACCAAGAGCGCGTGAAGTGCAGTTTTTAAGATCTCATCATCATTTTTGAGTGGAGAAGGAGGCAAAACATGAAAGAACTAGCGTTTCCTTTTATATACAAAACTTTGTCCTTCGATAAGAATCCAGTAGCTCACTTATTCAGTTGCATATACTTTATAGTAGGAAATGAATCAAACCTATTATCTCTGTTATAAAATCATGCTCTTTGATTAAAAACTTCAAAGCAAAGATATGCATGGAAGAGGTAATCATATTCTTATACTGAAAGAAAAAATTTACTAGTATATAATGACATTTAAAACATACACACACACACACACACACATTAGGTTCATGGCATTTCTTAGCCTACCTGCAGAAAGAGCGGCAGAAAATTGTTTTTGAATTTATTGTTAGAAAGTGGCAGAAAATTGTTTTTGAATTTATTGTTAGAAAGTGGCAGAAAATTGTTTTTGAATTTATTTTTAAAATCTAACTTTGGTAGATTAATTTTCATATGCCTAATTGACTTGTTTTTCTTTTCATTTCCTTTTAAACATTTTAGATGCCAATGTTATCATTATATGAGACAATAAATGTTAGTTAACAATATAAGTGACTCTAATTCAGAACAGCGTCGGCCGCAAAGCAGTCGGAACCACCCAGAACAAGTCTTCCACGTCTAAATGGTAAATACCTGCCCTTTGCTATGCTCTCCCTTATACAGGGTGGAAGAATCATAGAATTCAATGGCCTTTTAATTTGGTGCCTTGAACTGGACCAAAAGAAAGACAGATGAAATTCACAGCCCTTAACAAAATCACAGAACACTTCAGACACGTATCTGTGGTCAAAAAATGTTTATATTTTGGGGAAAACACGTAAGAAATTTCACTGCCCACGCATGACCTATTGCACGTGGACAGTCTGCTGCCAGGCGTTCTTCAGAGTAATCAGGCCAAACTGTGCAAGGACAAACCCCCCTCCACATTCCTAGTGAGTGTTCCCTGCTTCAGTTTCACAGAGAGCTCCTATTTCATGTGTTTTTCATTTCAAGATCGGCCTCCTTGAATGCTGTTTCCTCTCTCTCATTTGGATTCTACCAAGGTCAGAGGAATCGCCAGCAAATAAAAAGTGTAAACATCCCGTCGTGCACTGGAAGTCTGTCCACCCAGTGTCTAAACAATCCTAACTTCAAAGTTCATGAGTTCATTTAGTACACTACCAAGTCGACATCAAGATTCTAATGGCCGAGAGCAATAACACGATTTATTAAAGATGCTAACTGTGATGACTTTAGCCACTGTTTCTCCTTTTGGTCCAGTCTCTGGGGATATACACAGAGCTGATCATCACAGCAGTGATCCATCTGTAAACATCATCCAGGCTTAAGAGTCCCTAATCACCTTCCAACATGCCCCACCATCCCGATTACAGAGCATCTCAACAAGATGATGTCCATCCAGAGTGGCAGAATAGAACCTCCAAGGGGAACCAGGAGGAAATGGAGACAGATCTGCTGTGTGAGCACAGCCTCAAGAAGCAATCCCACTCTTCCACCTGTGACCCCTCATACATTCCTTAAAGGCCTGTAGTGTTCGATGGCCAGGAAGACTGAATATTAGATGTGAATACTGCTTCGCAGAAGCTTTCAGCAAGATCTTTAAAAGTAGTGCCCTGGGAAAGTGAAGCATCCAGTTACTAATTACCAGACAAAGGAATTGCCAGGATTCAATTTTCGAAAGAGTCACCCAATTACCCACACTCTTTGCTGCCTCATTTATGAACACCGTATGCTGAACAATGAGAATTGTATCACTAAACTGAAGCTGAACTTACTTTTATGAATTAGAACACACTGAAGAGCGTCTCTCACCATGAATTTTGTAAGTAGTTTTCAAAAATGTTTAGGAATTTGGTTCTTGCATCCCTAAAAGCAAATAATATATGAAATTTTATTGCAGCAACCTTCAGTTTATATGCTGCTTCTTAGCTTTGATGCTTTCTTACTTTAAATGCTTATATGTTAAATCTCAGCAGGCTCATAGGACTAAATCACTCATGATATAGCATTTTCTCACATAAAATGTGGAGAAATAGCCTCCTGGAAGTCATTAAAAATACATTTCTAAGTATACATTTTTGACATAAATGTTCCAAAAAGCAATTCAGTGTAAAAAAAAAAATCTTGGACTCATTTGGCTTGTTAAAACAAATCGTGTGCTAATGACATGAAGGGTATTTTTTAAATCTGTGTTCCACTTCTGTTATTTCTCAGTGTCTCTCAATTTTCTAGAATTCATTTAATTATTCATTCAAGAAACCTTTTGAGCACATATTATGTCCCTGGCAGTATGCAAAGCACAGGGGACCATCGGGCGAGTGAGAGAAAAGGTCCCTGTGAGGGTGTCAGGCTGCAGTGGTGGTGACTTACGAGGTGTTTATGCAACATATCACCAGGGCTTCATGAGTATTTGGGTGGGGGCAGAGACAGAAGTCAAAGAGGTTTTTAGCGTTGACAAGAAAGCATCTGGTGATACCATTCTCAAAGGCAGAAAAAACCAGGGGAGAAGGACCAAGCTGGACTGCTGTTGAGTGGGACATGTCTGCAAGACAGCTGGACGTGCATATCCATAGGCCACTGAGACAAGGATAGTCATTAGGCTGGAGATGCAATCTAAGGGATGAATGAGATTTCACGGGATGGAAAGAGGGAGTGGGACCAAACCCTGAGAAACACTAATTCTTCAGGGAAAGATGGTTTAGAGGAGCCCAAAGAAGCTGAGGAGGAGTGGCCAGAAGAGTCAGAAGAAATTCCAGCAGCAGAGAGGGAAATGCCGTATACCTTATGGCTGAAAAGGCTGATTCTCTTGGTCATTATTCAGCATAGAAGTGGCTTTGTATTCTCATTCAACTCGTCTTGATGTTTACTAGCTATTCAATGAGGTTTTCTAACACTATACATATGACTGCATCATTAGGACCAGATTTACAGGTTAGCAAATTTCTCTTTTTTAACACCATAATTGTGGTATGGTTCCTATACAGAAAGCTACACATACTTCAAATGTACAATTTGATGAGTTTTGATAGATGTAGACACCAATGAAATCACTATGACAATCAAGATAGCAAATTAGCAAATTTCTTAGGTGATTTAGCATTTGACAGATTACCATTGGCAAAAAGGTCTTGGGTTATATTTTCTCTGAAACACTAAAAATAATGATAATTTAGATTTATGGAAGAAGTAGGTTTATATGACATCCTACCACCTATGCACTAAATTAACTAAAACCTTTGCATTTTTAGAGCATGATCACAGGCAGCCACAATAAAAGTTTGCAGCAAGACCTTTAAGTTCTCTATTGCCAACAACAAAATTAAATAATGCCTGATTAGTGTCTGTTAAATATAATTTTTAAATTCAATCTCTGAATATATAGTTCATTCCATAGGTGAATGTTAAGATCCACCCCAAACCTGAAATTGTTTGGTTGCAAGAATTTATCATATTTGACATATAACAAATCTCCTTTAACCAGAATATTCAGAATAATTGCAACAGAGATTTTTCAGTATAAGTTCATTTTTATTGCATATATATGTGGGCATCATTCCAGAATTCACAGTAATTTACAGAATATTATGAAGATTTGCTTTTAGAAAGTTCAAAGATAACTTCAAATAGATCTGTTCACTGTCAAATTATTCTTCCAACATAGTTTAAAATGTTTGTCATTGAGGCTTTTCGGTAAGATTTAAAAAAAAAGTCTAAAAATTAGCATAATTTGGTTCTTGGGAATTTTGAAATTTATGTTTTGTGAAATACTAAATTATCTTCATTGTTTACGCCAGGTTCAATTAGATTGCAGTCACTTGAATCTAAAATTATCCCGATACAGTAGGCATATTTAGCAAAGCCAGTGTTTTCTTGGTTGATTTGGGAGAGGTTTGTGTTTGGGACCATATTTGTTTATGTTTTATTACCAACTCATACCTAAATGCGCTTTAGCTTACAAAACCGTAACAGGAAATCATTCATGTTTAATTACATTCTAACTCGTCATTCTCTTGCCATTGAAATTCATGACACTGGCACTAAACCAAGTAATCTGATGTGAGTCCAGAAACAGCAAGAGCATTTGATGAAATTGTCTCAATTATAGAATTGGTGCTTAATTCAGTGGCTCAGCTCTTAGACACTTTAATTGGATTTCTTTTGCATTAATGTGGAAATTAAAACATGACACTTAAAATTTTTCCTATTCTAATCTAAGAGCACTAGGACAAACATCTGCATGAAAAGTTAAGAGTTCAATGAATCATTTTTGCATTTTACCTACAAAATGTCAAACCTCTGAAATACCAAAAGCATCAAAATGCTCTGTACTCAAATATCAGATGATGATTGATTTCTTCAGTATTCGTCTAGATGTTTTGGTGACATCAGCAGCAGAACTACTGAACATCACCTTACCTGGAAACAAACTGTAAGTATAAAATATTGGTATGTGTCCCATTATCATTTTTATAACTCACTCAGAGTCATAAAGAGTTAAATGTTAGCATCATTTTAATCATTCCATTTCAAAATATTTCCAGGTTAATGTTCTAGCCACCAAAAATTGTATTTGTCTACTTATTTAGAAATATGGCATCAATAAGTTGTAAGCATACTGATTATAATAAAATATTAAGTCCCAAGATTTATGGCAATTAAAATTGAATGGATAAAAATAAGGAAATAATACTGAGTTACATAGCCCAGGGATCACTCGATCACATGTTATCTTTGTTTGGGCTCATTTAGGGGAACAGAAACATCCCAGGTGTTGAAAATAAAGTGATAAATAACATAGGAATTAGAGGCTTTCTGAATGTGGGAAGAACTGGGCAGCAAACACCTGAGAGGCTACAGCTAGAACGTCAGAGAAGCAGTTACCCATGCCTTGAGCCCACAGCACTGGAGAAGCTGGCCAAGCCAGAGCCACCAAGAAGGTCAAGAAACTACTACGTCTGGAGGCCATGACTGTGGAGTAGAGACTTGTGGAGACACCTGTGATGCTACTACGTCTGGCAGTCACAGCCGTGAAGTGAGGCTCCTGGAGATCTACCACATCACCAAACACGCTCCCACTATGCCCCTTTACCCCCAAGAACTGTGGCTTCTTCTTCTTTATTTCCAAATACCGAATTTCTCAGTAGTTCTCCTCACTGGCAAACTCTATGCCATAACCATAAAGGGAAGCAAATTCTTAAAACTATAGTTATCACTCGTAAGAGTGTTGCTGATTGCATCCATAAACATCCCTTCACCTGTATTTAATTTCTAATTAAAAACAAATCATATTTCCACCTAATGTGTTGCAACTATTCTTCATCCAACTGACGGTGAGCTCACCTCCATGAAAGATGGAACACCAAGTTGCCTATCATTTCATGCATCTCTGTGTGATATTTCTTTCTTTTCTAGGTAGTTCGCACTTCCCCTTTGATATCATGTACTTTTATACTGAGAGTACAGGGGAAATCACTGCTAATGCACTTTAGATTATAAGAGAATTGAGCAGAAGAAAAGATTGGTTAATATAAGCGAATGTGTTAATAGCAAAACAAGGAGAAATACACTTGACTCCTGTGGACCGTGTTTGTGAAACCACTCACAGGGCTGTAGTTGGTACTGATAATATCCTTCTTCCGTTACCGTTCTAAATTCTCTCTCAACTCATCAAGCACCTTCACCAGTCTTGGTTCTTTGCCCGATGTGGTAACCCACATCTTTATTCCTGAAAGGTGTGTGTAATTAGCTGTTATGCCTGTATCATTGTACACAGGAAAACTGAGTGTCACACTCAGAGAATCTTCCGAGTCCCAAGCATGCTCATCTTCAGTACCATTGTATCAGGACAAGTTAATATCCCCTTGATAATCAGGATTAATCTCCTAGTCAAAACACATCCCATTTCTTCATGCTGTTTCCATGGCATGAGGTGCCTAAGCGACCTGGTGGCAGTCTCAGTTTCTAGTTGAAAGGAACCATTGCAGGGTTTCCTGGTGGGAAAATTTCTTCCTTGTGAATAGAAACCCCCAAACACATGGAGAATAAAGAACAGGGAAAGTGTTCTGATAGTAGAACAGCAAGACACATATTGAGAGAAGTCACCCTCATTTTCCTCATTTTCTCCGCTTTTTTTTTTTTTTTTTTTTTGGTTATTAACTCATTCACCTTGGCAATGCCTCCAATCCTTGCAGTGAGGGTAGATTTGCCTAAGTGGAACCCTCCCAGCCTAGGAGACCTAATGCGACACTTTGATTGCTTCAGTTTAGTTCCACCATTGCCTGCCCAGTGTATTGATGTCACATCAAGTGCTGGCAAACACATAGTGTCTTTTCTGTGGACCCTCCTGCTCCATTATCCTTTATCTTACTTTTAGTCTCAAATATTAAAATGGGAAACTAACCAAGTCAACAGCCGCAAACAACAAACTATTGATTATTATCCTTGAATTCCTTAAATCAGTCTCCTGGAGTCTAGCCTAAGCAAGAAAATGAATACTGACTGACTTTAGAGGAAGCCTTCCTAAAATAATGATGGCAATGTGTCACTCTATATTCAGAATTGCTACCTACTTAATATATGAGAACCTGTTGAATGACAATTCATGTAGATGGACTTCAGGAGAAGCAGAGAATAAGAAGAAAAAAGTTAAAGGAAAGTTAAAGGCATAACTTGGTCTAGGGAAGAGAAATAATCTTCCAATATTTTTCTCATTTTCATCCAAAGTAATTAATGAAGAAAACTTACTTTTGTAGAGGGAAAACAAAAATCTTCTTGAGTAAAATGATCAAAGGGCTGGAATGAAGAGTGGAAAGGAAATTTTATGAGATTTGTGTGTTTCCAGAAAAATAGTCCTGTATTGAGAGGAATGAAGCATGTGACCACAGTGAGGTTCTTATAACTTCTAGCTTTTTTGTAATGTATCTCATTTACAGAGAGGAAAAGTGGCCCCCAACGTCTGGCAACAGAATGTAAATGTAGCAGAACAAGGTGAAATCATTACGTCCATTGCAGCGGTAGGAGGAGGGTTTGGGGAGGAGGGTTGCCTGGCACATGTATGTTCTACAAAGTGCCTTCTCCCACATAAGCCTTCCCTCAGTCCCTTAACAGCCAGATGAGATTTGTTTCATCAACCACATGTTACATAAGTGGCTATTTAAGGTTACTTGACCAGAAGAGAAATAAGAGGACCTGTGGAATACTTACTGACCTCTTATGGATAAAAGCTCCCACGTTTGTTCTATATAATTTACTTTTTTTATTTTTTCATATTTTTTATTGAAGTATAGTCAGTTACAATGTGTCAATTTCTGGTGTGCAGCACAATGTCCCAGTTTTGTGTATGCATACATATATTCCTTTTCATTAAAGGTTTTTAGAAGATATATACTTCAATGAATATTAAAATAATTTGACAAATAAGCACCGGACAAACACAAATCTTAAATAAGGACATTTGTCACTAATAAAAGGAATATCTCCAAAATTGATTGTTACTGTTTGATTTGCTCAAATGTTGTCAGTAAAGGAGAAGCATTATGATGAAGAGAACAAGTTTGTGCTTTAGAGTTTATTGGACCTTTTGCTTTCTCTGATAGGCATAAACTGGATTACTTTGGAAAAGTTAGTTAACCGCTCTGAGCCATTGTTTCTTCCTCTATAAAAACAGAGAAAACAGCATACATCCCAAAGAGGTGTTTGAGTAGAAGTTTCCCAATATAGTGTATTTTTCTTCCCTTCCTTTTTTTCCCACCTGACTTTTTTGTTGTTGTTGTTCATCTTCTACCAGATTTGATCCCTTCAACTTGTAGTAAGACCAAATGCAAGTCACCTGGCAGTAGCATCCATTTTTTTTGGATAATCACAAATTACAAGACAAATATAAGTAGAGATAATCAGCTCCCAAGAACAGTAAGGTTATATGTACAACCAAAGGGTATTCAAGAAAATAATCAAGGATTACCAAATGCTTTGAAGTCAGGAGAACCTGGGAGACCCCAGGCATTCTTCTGGAGCAGCACTTTGCATAGAAATACAATACGTGGGAGCCACGGATATAATTTTACATCGCCTCGTAGCCACGTTAGAAGTAAAAAAGAAACCAGTGAAATTAATCTTATAATATTACCATTTCAAATGTAATCGACTTACTTCACTTAGAATGACATTCTCCAGGAGCATTCATGTTGCTGCAAATGGCGTTATGTTGTCGGTTTTTATGGCTGAGTAGTATTCCATTGTATAAATATACC